CTAGTTATTTATAACCACAACACACACCTAAGGAACTCGAGTCCCTCCTTGCTCTCGGAGTCACCCAGGACAACCCCTGGATAAGACTTTAGGGCAAATATGTCCTCCCCCATGGACCAGCCCACAATATGTTATGGGCCATTCATGTCTCTTTACACATAGCATACAGACCACTGTTACCGCTTTTTTTTTTTTTTAATTGATTTTTTATAGAGAGGAAGAGAGAGGGACAGAGAGTCAGAAACATCGATGAGAGAACACATTGATCAGCCGCCTCCTGCACTCCCCCCACTGGGGATGTGCCTGCAACCAAGTTACATGCCCTTGCCCAGAATCGAACCCAGGACCCTTCAGCCCACAGGCCGATGCTCTATCCACTGAGCCAAACCGGTTTCGCCAATGCAGACCAGATTCTTCCACAACCCTTTACGGGAGAGAGATCCCTCCCACTCCTCTACAGCCAGGGGACTGGGTCCTGCTGAAGGAAATTCATCCATCAAATAATTAACAGGCCTGTTGGCAAGGCCTATAGCGAGTCCTTCTAACCACTCCTATGGCCACTAACCTGCACGGCCATCCCACAGGGTTCCACTTTTCTAGACTAAAACAGGTCCCCGGAACACCATCACCACAGAACTCCCTGATATTGAAATCCCCAAGATACCACAACCGCCAAGTTGGACCCACGAAATTTCAACTCACTGCCTTCCAGAGGAAGAAGACAAATGAGTGAGCACCCCTGCACATGTCCCCTCTGTGTAGCCCTCGCTACTTCGGAGCCCCCTGAAAGCTTACCCCCTTTCCCCAACAGATCCTCACCTCTTAGCCACGGCCCCTCTCCTCTCCATGCCTGGATTCTAACCTGTGGGGCCATGCAACAAAAGCTCTCCCTACCTGGATCCAGAAAACGCCCTCATTTGCCCTTGAGGGAACCCGAGCCCTGGAAACTGGGACTAGCTCTCCGCCACCCCTGTCCTCCCACTCCCCTGGGACACTTTCTTACCTCAGTTCTCTTCACCTCACCCATTCTCTTCCAAACAAGTCACTCCCAGCACTAGCTCAAGACTGTGGGCTTTGCCTGTTCTTTTCTTCTGCCCGCATTGCTATCCCGGTGCCACTCCTTAAGTGGAATCAGGCAAAGGCCACTTTTACCTATAAAAAGGGAAAAGGAGTCACTTTCTAAATAAAGCTAATACTCTCCTAGGCAACTATCCTCCCCTCAGGCCAATCAGGCTTCTCCGAGGCACTTACATTCAAACCCTCGCCACTGTAGCTCCCACCTCCATACTTGTCACAGGCCCTGTCAGCCTACACACCCCACTAATTGCCCAAATCTCTCTATGCTTTACAAAATCACAGGGCAATATATCAACAGGCCATCTTCCATCATCACCCTGTGACACCACAGTTACTCTAGTGAGGGAGAATATAAGGGGGCACCGGGGTGGGGGTGGGGGCCTAGCAATCTGAATCTGTGTCAGTAACCAGTATCCTATTGCACATTCTTTTTTTTTAAATATATTTTATTATTTTTTCACAGAGAGGAAGAGAGAGGGATAGTTAGAAACATCGATGAGAGAGAATCATCGATCAGCTGCCTCCTGCACACCCCCTACTGGGGATGTGCCCGCAACCAAGATACATGCCCTTGACCGGAATCGAACCCAGAACCCTTTAGTCCGCAGGCCGACACTCTATCCACTGAGCCAAACCGGTCTCGGCCTATTGCACATTCTTGTTAGCCTATAATTCACTGCCTCTTCCTTAGGCAATAATCTGTTTTCCTAAATATTCCCAGTTTACCAAGGCCATAAACCAAGAATTTAACAGTTTAGCCAGAGGGGAGATTCACGGGCAGCACCGAAGCCAGGCCTCTGGGTGTAATCTCACTTCCCCCATCCCAACTCGGAGGGACTGCAAAGCCCACAAAACAAAACGTCCGGAAGCCTGGTCCATATCTGGGGAGACAAACCAAAGGGATAAATGGGAAGGACCCTCTGCTTTCAGTACTTGAGCTTTGGAGAATAACTCCCCTGAGTCACCATACTTGTATCTCTGAAAATAGTTTTTCCTGAATCTTCCAAGTACCGATTATGTGTTTTTTGATTGCCTGGTAAATTCTGAAACACTAAAACTTCTGATAGACCATTCATCCCAGCCTGTCAACTATCAGGTCTCATCAGAGGTCAGTGGTCATTTCCTGCAGCCTGTCTGCTTTACTGCCTACCCAGTCATCCAAGCCCCGGGCTTCAACTGCTCTTTCCTTTTCCTCTTGCCTTTCCCCTGGGTAGCAACCCAGTCTAGCATTCCGGCCCACTTTCACTGCACTAAAACCTCAACCACTCACCCGTCACTCCTTATCCGCAGCGCTTTGGCGACCACCCTTAAGATTTGGAGCACAGAACCAGTAAAACAAGGGCAATCCATTACATACCCTCTAGTCCACCTTTTTCTCTACATTTCTCAGTTTGCCCGATTTGGGATTTTTTTCCTCTGGAGGGATAATGCTTACAGCTGCCTCCCAGCTAATTGAACAGGAACTTGCACCCTTTCTTATCTCTCCCCCAATGTAGATATACAATAGCTCCCAACAACCATTCTTTGCCCATTCCCATAACCTACACATTCTACAAGGGCAACACAGATAGCTCCTCTCCTAGTAACCCTGGGAATCACCCCCGGAGTCGGGACTGGCATAGGAGGGCTGACTACTGCTCTTTCATATATTTTTTTAAAAATATATTTTTATTGATTTTTTTACAGAGAGGAAGGTAGAGGGACAGAGAGCTAGAAACACCGATGAGAGAGAAACATCGACCAGCTGCCTCCTGCACACCCCCTACCGGGGATGTGCCCGCAACCAATGTCCATGTCCCTGACCGGAATCGAACCTGGGACCTTTCAGTCCGCAGACCGACGCTCTATCCACGGAACCAAACCTGTTTTGGCTGCTCTTTCATATTTTGAAACCCTATCCTAGGACTTACAAGGGAGCTTAGCCCTAGCCAGTTTGGCTCAGTGGATACAGCATCAGTCTGAGGACTGAAGGATCTGGGGTTTGATTTTGGTCAAGGACAGATGCCCACATTTTGAGCTTGATCCCCAGTAGGAGGCGTGCAGGAGGCAGCCAATCAATGAATCTCATCATTGATGTTTCTATCTCTCTCCCTCTTTAAAATCCATAAAAATGCATTTAAAAAAAAAAATAGGGCTCAGACAATATTGCTGTAAGTTTTGTTAAAACCCAAGACCAAATTGGTTACCTTGCAGCTGTAACATTACAGAACAGACGAGGCTTAGACCTGCTGAGAAAGAGGTCTCTTCCTGGCAGAGCGCTGCTTTTACATTAACCGGTCAGGACTAGTCCGAGATGCAGCTCAGAAGTTGGCAGAAATGGCCACTAAAATTAGAGAATGTCAGTCCAACACCTGGGACTCGGCTAACAAGTATAAATCGGTATACCCGGCTGCTTCCTTTCATAGGTCCATTAACATTCATATTCCTTAGTCTTGCCTTTGGCCCCGTTATTCTGCGCCACTTTTCTTTATTCCTCCAGGACCGTTTCCAGGTTTTCACCAACCATCCATACGGAGCCAGAACCTCACCCGGACAGCAGGGGACCAATACCTCACTCGGGCTGACTACTACCAAAATCTGCCCCGTGTCGTCTTTGGCACCCCCAGCCAGCCTGAAGCAGACACACAAGAAACCACCTCTGCCCCCATTCCATAAGCAAAAGATCTGGACAAGCAGTGAACCAGACTTCCTTTAGACACCCTCCTTGACTAAATGCAGTAACTTTCCATCATACCCGCTCAGAAAAAAACCCCACCCGGGGTGCTATCAAGGCCCCGACTCCCCAACGGCTCAGGGGAGATGCCATTTTGGGACTTAGCCCATCTGTTTGCAGATGCCTTAATACACTTAAAATTCTTTACTTCATCTGGCTTCCTCCTCCACCCATCTAACCCTTCCTAACAGGATCAACTGGCCACTGAGAGCTTCTTCGTTGGGTCTTGTGGAGGGAAGGTGACTGCCCGGGATTGCCATGTGCTCCTTGGATAGCACGGAGGTTCCCAGCAGCCCTGCTCTGCGTTCCTCCCTGGGCACATTCTTGGGTCTCCACCTGGTTACGAGGGAAGGAGTACCACCAGGATGTGGGCTCTGCCGAGAACTCTACAAGGTGATTTAAACAGACGAGACGGGCACTCCAGAAAACACAGCTTTATTCGCCAGGACTGAAAACAAAGGCTGTCTGTCAACAAGGCTTGGAGATTTCAGTGTAAGGTGTAGTGCATCATCGCCAAGTACAGTCCTCAGCCGTGTGAAGACGGCACCTTCGTCAGCAGGCGAGGGCTGGCAGTCCTAGTTTGCCTGACATCTTTGTGATTTGCCACGTGCTATTCCTCGTGTTACAAAAGCCATCGTCTTGTCATCCTCCAAGGGCACAGGAGAGAAGATCCTGTTGATCGAACCAGAGCCTCCCAGTGGGTGGGCTGGGGGCACGTGCCACGTGGTCCATGGCACAAACGCATGTGATTCTCAGGGAAGTCCTCTGCTTGGGGCATGGTCAGGAGTCCTGCCATTCTCCGCCTGGGCAGCAAGCATGAGCAGCTGAAGACATGGCTTTTTAAGGGCTTAGAAACTGCTGCCTACTTGTATGTCCAGGAGGGGGCAGCAGAGGCACCAAGTGCCCTGCACAGTGCATCCCTTCCTATGATAGCTTTTCCGTGAAGGCCTTCGGGGTAAGGTCCTCCGGCAGCAGCAAGAGAAAGAGGGCCGCACACCCGCTAGCTCCCTGGAGCCCATTTGTTAGGGCTGAGGTTATACAGATTGCAACACAGACAAGGGAAGGGCTAGGCCGGTCGTCGGCAAAGTCATGAGTCAACAGAGCCGCAGTCTGCTGACCACGGGGCTAGGCTCAGCCTGAGAGTCCTGGAAACCCTGGGGTTGACGGCTGGGTGACAAGCGGAGGGCCCCGCCGACCAGCTTTCCCTGGCTCAGGGTCTGCAGCAGGAGGCCCTGCGGCCCTCCCTCTTGACATAGTCATGCAGCTGGAAGTGGAGGTCGCTGGTGCTCTTTGTGGAGCGCTGCTTCAGCTCCCTGCGGGACAGGGGGAACCATGGAACCAGTGGCCAGTACCCCCAACAGGGGGGTTCAGATCCTGGGTCTGAATCTGGAGGCCTTCCCGGTGACCGCGAGGACTTACTTTGCTATCGCTGTGAAGGCCAAATCCACGTTGAGGCCCATCTTGGCGCTGGTCTCCATGAAAGGCAGCCCATACTCCTGCAAAGAGCTGCTGCCAGCCAGGTGGCAGCCTGGTGGGGACAACCCAGGCCCTACAGCCCCAGGGGGCACCCCTAGCCACCCACCTCGCCCAGACTCACCTTGGCCAGCTTCTCCCCGTCCTCCCTCTTCACCACACGCTCCTGGGCAGAATCCACCTGCCACGGGGATCTTGGTGAGAGCCAGCCTCAGGCTCCCCCCTCCCACCCCCCAAAGAGCCAGGGGAAGAAGGGAGGCGGGGTGCCCACCTTGTTGCCTAGCAGCATGAGCACCACATCGCGCTGGGCATACTCTTGGATCTCGGTCAGCCAGGCCTGTCATGGGAGAGCTGAAACCAGACTGGAGGCTGGTGTTCTCCACACCCCTGGCTTCTCCCAGCCACACCCACACAGGGCCTCTAACAGGAAAGGCCCAGAAATTCAGCCATGGGCCACGCTGAGACACTCCTGACAATATCCAAGATGGTTGGGCTAATGGAGCTGGAAGGTCACCCAGGCCGCCTCCAGCTCATACTCTAAACCGGGGCCACCAGGAGCCCAGAGGGGCCCTCCGCCCCTCTTCCTGCTGTCAGTAGGGTCCTCAGACCATCTACCTAAACGAGTCTGGAGTAGAACCAGGACCCATCATGGCCTCTCACACCACACACACACACACACACACACACACACACACTCACTCACTCACTCACCAACCCAGAAGGAAGCAGCCACTGACCTGGATGTTGTCAAAGGAAGCCTTGTTGGTGACATCATAGAGCAGTAGCAGTGCTGGGGGCAGAGGGCCAGTGAGGACACCTCCAGTCACCCACAACCCTCCTCTGAGCAGAAGCCTAAGGGAACAGGGCACGCACAGACACAGACCACAGCCCCGACTCCGGGGCCTGGGACCCTGCCCGTGAGCTCACCGTGTGCGTCACGATAGTAGGCGTGGGTGACGCTGCGGAACCGCTCCTGGCCAGCTGTGTCCCAGATCTACAGCGACAGGGACAGGCCGGGGGTCAGGCCTGCCCGGTCCCTCCTCCGGGCCCTCAGCTCACCCTCCCCCAGGTGCCTCACCTGCAGCTTCACCTTCATGCCATCCACGTCCAGAACTTTATTCTGAAACACAACCAGCCAACTCCAGTAATGGGCCCAGTGCCATGTTCTGGCAGGGGCTGAGGGGAGGGGGAGGGGAGAGGCAGGCAGTGCAGGGCCAGGGACTGAGCCTGAAGTTGATGGGCCCCTGAACTGACTCTGCCCCCAACGCCCACGTGGCTCACCTCCCTCTTTGCACCAGAAGGTAACACTTCCCCTGGAACTCGAGTCCGAGAGTCAGCCAGCTCTCCCTGGTGCCTCTGGGGAGCCCCTCCTGATAATCCATGCTTAGGGGGCACCGGCCTCTCTCCTGCTCTGACGGCCATACTGATAGACTCGCAGGGTGTTCTTCCTCTGCCCACCCTGCAGCCTGGCACATGGCCCCGCCAGCTCCATGGCCCCTTGCTACCACCCACCACAGTCAGTCACTCACTCCAGTTGCTCTGACCCTCTCCCAGCACCTTGCAAGCCTAGCCCCTTCACCCTAGCCTGCCCTCCTCGCCCTGGTACCTACCGATTCAGCCTCACCCCACACTCCTGTCCCTTACACGCTCCCTGGAGTGTAGACCCCAGCCCCCGTGCCGAGGACTGGCATCTCTCAGCTCTGCCGGTGCTGCTCCTTTGGCTTAAAGCCATTTGCGTGATATTGGGAGTCACCCACCGTGTGATCCCAGGACCACGACCACCTGTCTGTGCGTCAGCTCTCCCACCCACACATGGCGATAACAGGCACCCATCCCAGGGATGCTCCGATGACTTTGTGAGTGACTATGTGCAAAGCACTGAGAACTGTCTGGCCCAGAGTGACAGCTAAGAGCATTTGTTCCAATGTATTTAATTTAACGTATTTATTATTGATTTTAGAGAGGGAGGGGGGAAGGAGGGAAACATCAATCAATCAGTTGCCTCTCAGACGTGCCCCAGCTGAGCCTGGGCACCTTTGTTCTGACTTAAAAGCTGCTCTCCACATGGGCAGTTCTCTGAGGACAGGGCCCAGGGCAGCAGACAGAGTGCAGAGCTCTGCCCCGTACACGGTGGGTGCTCACTGTGTGTTCGCTGCCTGGCCACGCTCTCCAGTCAGCCCTAGAGGTGGTGGCCCACCCCTGGTTTCCACTTGCTGGGTGGGGATGAGGAGCCAATGTCTCCCTTCTCCCAAACTGCTGCTGTCAGGCGCTTCTGGGTCTCCAGGGAACCGAGCCCGGCCATCTGCCAGGCTGGGGAGGACACCCCGCCTCCCCTGACGCCTGGAACAGAGGTATGAACCAGCTGCCTCACCTCCCTCACCGCCTGCCCCGGAGCCAAGAGGGAGGGGAGAAAGGAGAAGCAGGGCCAGAACAGGCAAAGGTCCGCCTGCCCTGGGCCTGCACAGCCCAGCCCCTCTGACACCTCAGCCTTTACGCTTCCTCCCAGAGGATGGAGGGGGCCTTGTCCCCCAAAAGAGAATGGCTCCCAGACTGGAGGGAACCCCCCCTTTGCTATCCCCAGAATAGGCCTCCCTCCCAGCTTCAAAACTACTGGGTCTAATTAAAGGGTGAGAAAGATGCAAATTCAGGATTTGCAGGGAACACAGCAGCACTTACACAGCACCTCAGCGCTGGCAGCAGCATTTAGACTGATGGGCAGAGGTGGGAGCCCTGAGGCTGGAGCCCTGCGAGCCTCAGACCCATGTCCCCGTCATTTCCTGCTGACCCCATAAGCGGCCAAGAATCCAGGGGCACCCCCAGAAGAATCCCAGGACGCAGCCCTCCTGCTAGGGGTGGTCAGGGGGCTGGCAGGGGAGATGAGCTGGGTAAGAATATTTCCTATGAGCCTCCTCCCCCAAGGGCAGGGACCTCTGCCCTAAGCAACCCCTCCGTCTCTAGATAATACCCTTTCCTCAGCTGCTGGACGGGTATGTGTTTAAGGGCCACAGCCACCTGTCCTGTAGGTGCTGGATGGCCTGCCTGGCACCTCCGTGGGGCAGCCATGCTGGCCTCCCAAGTGAACATGGTCCTTGAATTCCCTCTGCCAGCTCTGGGGGCACCAGTGTCCACCTCCCCAGAGGCACAGGTCAGAGCCGCACGGTGTGCCAGCCCCGTGCACAGGGATGCCATCTCTGCTTTGGTTGGATGGAGCCACCATCTGTCTCCGACAGCCTAGGATTTCCAGAAGGCAGGCAGCTTGATGGCTATGGCATTCCACCTCCACCCTGACCTGGGAGCCAGGGGTCCCTCTGGGACCTCCCCCTCAGGAGCCTGGATGCCACAGGATATGGAGAACCAGCTGCCGGGGAGGGGTGTTGTGAGAACTCCATGAGCTGGTGTTGGGGGCCCAGGACACCAGTCTCCACTCACCCGGAAGTCGATGCCCACGGTGGAGATGAAGGTCCCTGCTAGGAACGCCCCATCCTTGAATCGCACCAGCAGGCAGGTCTTCCCCACGCCCGAGTCCCCCACCAGCATGACCTGAGGGGAGCAGGAGGGGCAGAGGTGTTAGGGCCCAGGGGACCCGCGTGCAGGCCCCCTCAGAGGGGTGTCTAGTCCTCCCTGAGCTGGCCTCCTCAGAGGGAGGCTGAATGAGGGGTGGGAATGGAGAGGGGCATCCCAGGCCCACAGGATGGGCCCCAGGATTTGGGTTTAGGATGGGGGAAGGGGTGGGGGACGACACAGCAGCTATGATCCCAGCTGGCCTGCACCTCCAGCTTCTACCTACGTCTACAGGTCCTGTCCCCTCTACCCCAGAAAAAGGCCCGTCTCCATCAGGAGGGAGTGGGGGCAGATGCCTCCATCCAGGCCCTACCTGACCCCCACGCCCGGGCCCTGAGCACCATGCCTGATCTAGAAGGGAGTGTCTGGGGGGAAGAGGCTGGGGGTTGGTGGCTGGGGACCCCTGTGGGGGTGTCTGTGCCAGAGGGTTTCCGATCTGGACCAGACTGGGAGGAATGTGCCACTTGAGGGTCAGATCCTGTCAGAGGGGCCTCAGTCAGGTCTGTGGACAGGAAGGGGCAGTCAGGCCTAATCCCTCCTCCACCCCTTCAGTACCCCTCCCCACCCTGCTGCCAACGGCCCCCCAAACCCAAAGATGGTCCTGCCACCCCCATCCCTGTGCCACACACACACTCACACACACGCGCACGCATGCACACACACTCTTTCACAAGCTTCTACAGCCCCCGGGGCGAGGGAAAGCAGCATATGGTAAATAATGAGCTTGGGGCCCCAGCGGGGGAGGAGACAGTGCGGAGCGGGTAGAGAGCACCTGGATCTGACTTCCGCAGGACCCCTTATCCCGCCCCGCAGTCTGGGGGTAGGGTGGGGGGCAGGCCTGTTGGGTATCCCAAACCCAGGTCTGACAGCTGTGCGTGTGTGTGTGTGTGTGTGTGTGTGTGTGTGTGTGCGCGCGCGCTGCGCTGTGCCAGCCGCTCCAGCCCCGCGGGGCCGGGGATCCGCAGGGCCCTGCACCCCCGCCCGGCAGCCTCCGGACCAGCTCCCGCCAGACACCACCTGCTGCCGCTCGCATGGGGGGCGGGGGTTTGCCCGGCTCACCTTGAAGGCGACGTCGTAGAAATCGCCACCGCCGCCCAGGGAGGGCCGGCCGGGCGGCGGGGGCCCGTTGGGCGGCCCCGGGGGGCCGAGGCGCGCAGTGCCGGGGCGCGCCGCCCGGGGTCCGTTGGCGGCGGGGAGCACCGAGGCGGGGGGCGCGCTGGCCCCCTTGCTCTTGGGAGTCTTCTTCCTGGACATGGCCTGCGGGGGGCACTCAGTGCTCTCCCTCTGCGGTCGCCGCACACGCACCCTCGGCCGCCCTGCTCCCTGCTCCCACGGAGCTCGTCCTGGACCCGGACCCGGACCCGAACCCGTCCCGCGGCGGCGGCCGGGGCATCCTGGGCGCTGGGCTCTCCACCCCCCGCCGCCCACAGCCCCGCAGCCACTCACCCCCGGCCTCTCGCCGCCGCCGCCAATGGCTGTGCGGAGGCGGGGCCATGCAAATGAGCAGGCCTCCCGGGGGCGGAGCCAGGAGGACCCCCACACCCCCCCACCCTCACCGCGCCGCGCGGAGCTAGCGGGTCTGTGCGCTCTGCCCGGGGGCGCCGCTGAGGGGCCGCCCGTGGCCCGGGCCGCGGTAGGGGGCAGGGGGCTCGGGCCGCGGTAGGGGGCAGGGGGCCCGGGCTGCGGTAGGGGGCAGGGGGCCCGGGCAGCGGTAGGGGGCAGGGGGCCCGGGCAGCGGTAGGGGGCAGGGGGCCCGGGCCGCGGTAGGGGACAAGGGGCCCGGGCCGCGGTAGGGGGCAGGGGGCCCGGGCCGCGGTAGGGGGCAGGGGGCCCGGGCCGCGGTAGGGGTAGTAGGGCCCGGGTGAGGGGGCACCCGGAGTCCCGTGTTCCTCGGCGTGCTGTGAGCCCCTACTCCCCGCGCCGCCTTTTGCCCAGGGACCCCCTCTGGACCATCTCCCGGCCTGGGACAAGGGGAATACTTGGAGGTAGGGGCCGCGGAGGCAGTGGGTCTGCATGGGGGGGGGCACCCTGGATTCCGTTTCTTCTCAGCCAGAGATGCCACCTGGCCCGTTGCAGAGCCCCCCTCTCTCCAGGGCAGGCGGGTCCAGGAAGCTCCGACACTTGGTCTTGGCAAACAAACGCCGCCCGCCGCCCGGTGTACCGAGGGCTGGGGCTCAGGTGACAGCTGGTTATCAGAGGCAGAGGCAGGACTTGGTGGCACCGCGAGCGTCAAGGCTGAGCTGGCAGGGCCCTCCCCCACAGCTCCTGCCTGCTCGGCTGACGTTGTGGGAAGTCAGCGGTGTCTCAGCCAGCAGCAGGGCCTCTGCTCCCAAGCATCTGGTGGATGAAGGGGGCGGGAGGCCCCTCCCCCAGTGGCTGGCCCTTGGACCTCCATCGCCAGGTTCTGGCCCCAAGCAGGCCCCAGATGCTGATGATTGAAACCCCGCACTGGTCCCTCTCCAGGGTCTGACACCTTCTCCCACCTGGGCTGCTTAGAGTTCTGTCCCCGGACCTCCGCCTTGGTTTTAGAATGAGGCTGAGGTGGTAATGGAATCTAGAAATAGTAAACCAAGATGCCCCTCCTCCAGGGATAGGGGATAGTAGGTGCAGACAGAAGGGCAATCTCTGTTCCATACTCTTCTGGGAGCTGGAGGGATGACCTTGCTGTCCACCCCTCACCCCCTAGATGTGACAGCTGGCACTGGAACCCTGGGCCCTTCTGAGCCCCGAGCCTTGTCAGCTGGCAGTGCCCCAGCCTTGTCAGCTGGCAGTGCCCAGAGCTCAAATACTTATGCTGCTCACAGGCTCAGAGATCCAGGAAAACACAGATGGAGGGATGCTGTCCAACAGAGCGATTCCTCCAAAGGACCTGGCAGGGACGTGCCGGGAAAAGGCTGTGGAAAACTGTCCTTCACTGACATCATCAGGGGCCAGGCACAGGTCATTTTCAAAACCGTCCACGAGGCGGGTGCTGCTGCTGCGATCCTCAGTGTTAAGAGGGGAAAACAGGCCCAGTGAGAGAACCAGGGTTTGCATTTGGGAGCTCCGGTTCCAGAGAGCATAATTGTCCATGGCAGGGTGGAGCCAGGTCCCCTGGAGACCCCCCACCCCTCATGGCCCTGTCATAGCTGGGTACAAACCTGAGGAAGCCCCTGGCCTCCTTTCCTGACTCATTCCTCTGGCCTCCCACTGTTTCCAGACCAATGAGTGACCAAATATGAAGGCAGTGGGGCTTGGGGCGGGATTGTTGGGCTCCCACTGCTGTGGCCCCGGGGACTCCAGGTGTCTCCCCCTCTCCCCCTCCCCCCGCTAGGAGGCCAACTTCAGGGTGGTTGGCCAGGTCTCAGCTCAGCTAGCCAGATGTCCACTGGCCCCAGGGTCCTAGGCAGTGAGCTCCCTGCTTCCTTCCGACAGCCACTGCCCAGAGTGTCCCCCCAGGTATGAAGCCATGTGGAGTTTGGGTGCCCTAGAGGTGGGGGCTGCAGGTAGGGCAGTCTGAGTTTGGGTAAAGGCGTGTGCTGATGGGGTGACCAGGAAGAGAGGAGGTAGGCATGTTAGGGGTTGGAAGGCGGGGGGGGGGGGGAGGCTAGGAGGGGAGGAAAGCTGAGAGCAGCAGAGCAGACAGGCTTGATCTTGCCACCTTTAAAATGAGAAGAATAGCCCTAGCTGGCTGGGCTCAGTGGGTCATTGGCCTGCAGACTGAAGGGTCCTGGGTTTGATTTCGGTCAAGGGCACATGCCTGGGATGTGGACTCAATCCCTAGTGTGGGGGTGCAGGAGGCAGCCGATCCATGATTCTCTCTCATCATTCATGTTTCTATCTCTCTCTCTCTCTCCCTTCCCCTCTGAAACCAATAAGAATATATTAAAAACAATAAAATAAAATTAGAAAAATATATGTACAGCTCCAGGTCTCTGAGAAGAGGGAGTTCTGGGCCCCTGCATCACAGCACCCCCTTGCTTCACTCCCTCTTTTTTTCATCCTCACTTGAGGGCATGCTTAGAGGAAGGGAGAGAGATCGAGAGAGAGAGAGAGAGAGAGAAGAGAAGAGAAGAGAAGAGAAGAGAAGAGAAGAGAAGAGAAGAGAAGAGAAGAGAAGAGAAGAGAAGAGAAGAGAAGAGAAATATCAACCAGTTGTCTCCCATGTGTGCCTGTATGCACCTGTACACCCTGTATGTTCCCCAACTATGGATCAAACCTGAAACCCAGATATGTGCCCTGATTGAATTCGAACCGGCAACCTTTCCGTGCACAGATGATGCTCAACCAACTGAGCCACTCTGGCCGGGCCCCCCAGCCTCTCTTGCCTCCGGCAGTCCTCCTGGACTGTGATCGTGATGTGTCTCGGTGCCTCTGTTTGCCATCTGTAGCACCCTCTGGAATGTAAGCGCTCTGAGCACAGGAAGTCTCTTGTCTTAGTCACTGCCATATCCCTGGCAGCTGGCCCTGGGCCTCAATAAACAGTTATTAAATCAGGGAAAGAAATATGAGTTAGAAACATGGCGCCTCCTTCAAGAGCCACGTTTCTAGTAAGGATTTGAGGCAGAATGTGCCTCCCCGTACAATGGTAAGACTGGGGTGAGCAGGCTTGGTGGAGGAGGGGCATTTTTTTTTAAAGATTTTTAAGGGGGAGCAGAAGTCTAACAGAACAGGAGTCAGAGAAACTTGCCGGGTGGAGGGCGTGGGTATGTGCAGGCTCAGCGTGCCATTAGGTGGCCACTTGGAGCAGTAGAAGCCACAGTGTGGTCCCGTTGCTTGGAGGCAATGGCAGTCCAGTTGGGGACAGGAGGGGGCCTAGATTACATGGCAAATGTGAGCAGATGTATTTCCTAGGGGCTTGGAAATTGTTCAGGGAGAAGTAGGGAGCCATGCATGGTTTCTGAGCAGAGCAACGGAGAAAGGACACGGCTCTAGGAATACTGGAGAGCAGCAGAAAGGAATGGGTGTGGGCCGGGGGCTAAGCGTGGGGGGATTGCAGGAACCCAAGGGGAGGTAGTAGGGACAGAGGGGACCTCTGGGAGAGACAGAATGCAGGCCTGGAGGTGAGCAAAGAGGGAGAGCCCACTGGGCAGGGACAGGGGAGTGCTGAGATGGGCTGGAGATGGAAAACTCCTTGCTGCTCCTCCCAACCAGAAGGGAGGGTCCGTGTTCCCTGGCCTTGGGTGTGGGCAGGAGATGTGATTGCTTTACTGGCAGGAGTGACCCTGTGTCCACTTGTGGGCTCAGAACTTACATCCTGGCAGCTCCTCCTTCCTGTTTCCTGGGACACTCATCCTTGGCATCCAGCTGCCATACTGTGAGAAAGCCCACGTGGAGAGATACCCATTTGCCAACCCGCTTTATGTAGGTAAAGTAGGCATATTGGCTGGCGGTGGGTACTCTCTGCTGGCAGGTTCCATGCAGAGCAGTTACACCATCCCACCAAGCCCTGTCCAAAATGCAGATCTGTGAGCATTTGGGGCATGTTTGTTACACAGCTATGGTGAATCAGCACAGACTGCCAGCTAAGGGACGGGAAAGGGCCCAATTGGTGGGAAAGGTCAGGAGGGCAGCCCTGGATGGATGCCCAGAATCTCAGCATCTTCAGACCTAGAGAAGAGAAGACCCCCTCCCGCCCTCTGGTGCAGGCCAGGCTCCCGTGGCAGGGCATGAGTTGTGAGCCGCAGGGCCGAGCAGCGGAGGGTGAGGACCGTGTCCCACCGGGGAGGGGTGCCTACAGCCCTCAGTCCTGCTGGCATAGGGCCGGCTCTGCTGAGCAATGGAGGATCTACATGTGTTCATGACCCAGAAGAGGGATGGAGCAGCACCAGCCTCCTTGCCCCCACCCCCTGGTCTCATCCCTGGGACCCCACCCCAGCACCCTCAGGCCCTGATCTCTGGCCCCTCATGCCTGGGGCCTCTGGCTCCTGCACTCTGTCCTTAGCCTGCCCTTCTGAGTGTCTTACCCCCTGGTCTGGAGCAATAGGTGCCATGAGTCCCAGATACAACGACCCTCGAGGACCCCCTCTCTGGATTCCTGTTTTCCAAGTCCCCCAGCTTCACGCCCACATTTCACTCACAGGTAGGGATTTGCCCTCAGACAGGCAGACTCAGGAAGGAAGAATCCTCCTCTACCTTCCAGGCTCGGCTTAGAACCCACTCTTCCAGGCAGCCCTCTCTGACTTCTTCCCCCTTCTTGCTCCGTGGACACTCAAATTTCCTGTTCAGTAATACCCTCCCGGGGGATGGGGGGAAAGTAGTGGGGGGAGGGCAGG